CCAGACAATCTGGTGACCTCATAGGAGGCAACATGTTCCACAAATGTAAACTTTGATTATAAACAAAACCCCAATATACCAGAGGATGCATGATTTACTTATAGCGATGGACATTCAAGGCGATATGCGTAATCAGCCCCCTTTGTAAAACCTGGGTGGAAGAGGGGCTATATTTCGTTTTACGATTTCTATGAACTCTTCATGTTCAATAAACGTATCATAAACTCGAAATAAAAATCATACGTCTTCAACAGGTTTAGCCTTATTTTATTTTGAATTAGGTAACATTTTCCACGCGGATTTATTCTCAAAAGGCATACATGAGACCACGTGGACTTACCACGAGACCACGAAAACCTTCCTGTCGTGAGACTTCTATTCCCTGAAGCGTCGTAAAATAACTACATATTTTACGATACTGAGACCTGCGAAATGCAACACAAATATAACTCGTCTCTGTGAAAATAGATTAAAAAACAGGAAGAAAACAATAATCACCGAAGCTGTCAGTGTTGACTTCTTTTTTGTACAACTGAAAAACGAAAAAGCGCCAAAATGTAAATTATTTGATGAGATGGGTAGTGTTAGTGGCGTTCGTCTAGCTGTAGTTTGGTGACGTCGGCCACTGCTCTCAATGAAATGGGGTTTAGGCATAACGCAAGGGGAGCTGATCGTGGAGTGTTTCGTGAAAAGTATTCAATCCTCACCCTCAGGTCAAACTATCTCAGGAATACTGGGAGTTGGGTTTTCAGATAGTATACATCAATGAGACCTGGGTGAACAAGAACTACTCCGTAGAGTACATGTGGCTACCGTCAGATGGTACATGCAACAAGGCCCCAACCATTCCATCTGGTAAAGGCAAACGCCTCACCGTTCGTCACGCTGGTACACGTGATTCTGGTCTCATTGACGGGAACGAAGTCGCCAAGACGAAACCATGTCTACCTTATCATAACTACAATTTCATTTTGAATTTCAATACTTTTCTTAAATTAGCAAAATTTAGATGTGGCACAGCACCAATTAATATTGAAGTGGACAGATATGCCAATATTCTTCTACAAGGGAGAACATGTTTCAATTGTAGGAATGTAATTGAGGATGAATGCCACGTTTTACTTGATTGTCCAGTGTACAGTGTCGAGGGAAAGAATCTTATTGATAATTGTCTTAGAATTTGTCCGGGTTTTATGAATATAAGCAATACTCGGAAAACTGCTTTTATCTTATCTAATGAAATTTTATGTTCTGAAAGTGCCAAAACCTGCCATAGTATTTTGAAAAAGAGAAAATATGTAAATATGTTTTATATCAGTAACATGTACGAAAAAGGGTTTTATCGATAATATTCAGTTTTATCAGCTGTAAACACTTGTACATATATCGTCTCGTGAATTGATGTATATTGTAATGTACCTTGTAGAGACGTAAATGAAATCTCTCTCTCTCTCTCTCTCTCTCTCTCTCTCTCTCTCTCTCTCTCTCTCTCTCTCTCTCTCTCTCTCTCTCTCTCTCTCTCTCTCTCTGTAGAAGCCAGCGGGGTTTACGGGTGTTTGTACAAGTAATACAACCAATTCAGGTTGGTTGATGAGTTCATCGTACGCAGAGAAGATGTAGTAACTCTGGTGTTGATTGGTCTTGATGTTTCACCAATATATGAGGTATGGTTGTCCACAGTTGCAGTCTATTTTGTAAATAAATCACTCAATGTCAGAGAGGCCTACTTATTACCACCAATGCACTGCTAACCGGTCATTAAACCGGATAAGCAGAACCTGTCTCGTGTAAAGACACGTGGGACTCTCGCGCTTCACTTCACACGATCAACGGAAGATAATAGCTTCGTGCGGATAAATGTGTCAATGTTGTGTTGATACAGCCGATTGGTTTACCGTCCGGAAACGGAAACCGCATATCCGTTATAGACAGTCACTATTATAACGTAAGATATTGTTTGTTTGTTTGTTTTATGCAAAGTGACCGGAAGGCGAGGTTTCCGAATATATGGAGTCCGAGTATCCGGGTTGTCACTGTAAATATATCAGCTAGCATAAGACAGTCCTTTAGGGGAATTAAACTGGGGAAGTAAACGGCATATCAAAACAATTTACAAATAATATCCAGTCCTGTCAATCTTCGGGGGGTCATGTAACCTATATATTTCGAGACATTTAACACGATGGCTGTTTTAAGCTTTACTATGGCCATCATACTCTTTTACATATCTCAACATAAACTTAATGAGAGAAAGACACGTAAGATATTAATCAATAGATGAGACATATTCAACACACATATAAAAGCATATTATATCTTTGAGGTGGCCCCTTGTGCCTGTACATGACAAGGGGCGTCGTCATACCTGGCTGAGCGACCAAACTGCCATTTATAGTCTGATTTATTGTTTTCAGCAGCTATTCGTATTTTTTCTAAATTTCGCCCGATTTTACGAGTAAACATGCATCCCGCTGAACGCCCAGTTCTTCTTTCTAATTCCGACAGTACTTAAAGGAGAATACGAGTGAATTGCAATAATTTGCTGGGTGAACGATAAAATCATCAGAAACATATTCCAAAATTTTCAATTAAAAATTATGTATAATTTCGTCCGTATTCTCCTTTAAGTAATCATACACTGACTGAAGAGGACGTAAAAATCAGATTTGGACAACTAGACATCCGGAAATCGTCTGGCCTCTATGATTTAAGTGGTATGGTTTTAAAAGAATGTAAAGAACAGCCTTTATCTTCCATAAACCTTTTGAACGTTCACTGAATAAACAAGTCATACCATGAGTCATGAAACTATCTGAAATCATTCCAGCACAAGAGACGCCGAAGTCGTTCGTAAACAATGACTTCACACCTGCAGATCTTACGTCAGTTGTAATGAAGTGCTTTGAGCGCATTGTTCACTGCATGCTCTCCAACCGCGAGGTGTTGACGACGCTACCAACACATTGAGAAAACTGGAGCGTATGCACGCTTTTTATTCGTGGACTACATCCGGGACGACCGTCACTAATACACACACACACACACACCACCCCACCCCACCCCCATCCCAGGACTGTGTACTATGCTCTTCACTCTCTACACCAATGACTGTGTCAGCTCTAACTCCAACTGTGACAGAGTGAAGTTTGCCGATGATCCAGCAATAAGCAGTCTCCTGTTCGGCAACGAGGATTCCTACAAAGAGGAAGTATCAGCCTTCACAGCGTGGTGTGAAGCCAGTTTTCTCGAACTTAACGTCAGGAAAACTAAAAGCTCATCATTGACTTTCGCAGGAAAAGAATAACCAATCACATCTGTAACTATCCAGCGCCAATTGCAAGAAGTAGAAGTAGTTGAAGAGTTCAATTATCGATGGACCAGTATTGACAATAAACTTTCCTTCTCGCAGAATACCGATGCTATCTACACTTCTTACATAAACTCCACTCCTGTTCATTCCAATCAACCCTACCATTATGAAACTACAAATCATGTTTGCAATCTATTTTAACTTTTTCAATACAGTGCTGGTATGGACCCTTAACGCTCCAGAACAAGAGCAAGCTGAACAGAGTTGTGTAACTTGCAGGGAAAATAGCATCTTGTGAATTTTAGAAACTCAAATTTCAACTGTTTTTTAATCTTACCTCAAGAATTTTAAACGACCCATCTCCTTGTTTGAGTGGCATTTAGAAGTTGGTGTGATGAACAACGAGGAGAGTTCTATGGATATACAACTTCTTTAATATAAAATGAGCGACGTTTCGGTGTAGCTACTAACACCGTTATCAAGCAAATGATAACGGTGTTAGTAGCTACACGGAAACGTCGCTCATATTATATTAAAGAAGTTGTATATCCATAGAACTCTCCTCGTTGTTGACCCATCTCCTGTTTTAAACTCTTGCTATAACTTTTACCCTGTGTTCGTAGATAGCTTATTCTCAATGTTAAAGCTAAGAGAGCAAAATAATCTAGTAATTTTGTCGGGTTGAGTCCCATCCGGGATTCGAACCGCACCCTCAGAGACAAGCACCTGATCGCCAGCACACAAACATAACCCGCTCAGCTACCGCGACTTCCACAAAATGGAAGGCTGACAACTGGAAGTCTAGAGTGCGGACTTTGTGTGCCGGCGATTAGGTGCCTGGCTCTGTGGACTCTGTCCCGGATGGGACTCAACCCAATAAAAGTACTAGAATCTGTACTTTACTAAGAAAGTGTAATTCCAAATATAACATATGTTGCATTTGGACACTTTCTTAATGACATTGTGTAATCATAAAATAGCTAAATTCATCAACATGATTACTTTATTGGGACGAGATCAAGAGTTATCACTATCATAACAGTCACTATTACTGTCAGGTAGATAGTCAACATTACCATTTGATGTGAAATCCTCTTCCTCTCCTGTCCTACTGTTAAAATCACCTGTTATGAAGATGTCTGCATCATACTTGCAAGTTATTTCACACAATGCAGTGGCGTAAAACTATAAACTCACTCACTCACACAGTGCATCTCCATGATGATTAAAACTGTTGCATTCCATATAGTCATGTAATGGGTGTTTTCTGGAGAAATATACACATACTCAATGGTAATCATTGTCTAAACCAAAATACACCATATCTAGAAACAGAAACACAGCATCTCTGTAATGTTGTAGTATTCTTTGCTAAAGGATTTATGCACGAATACACACGCTCCTCCACGTCTACCTTATATCTGCACCATACAGTAGACTGTGCTCGTGAATAACAAGAAAATATGTCAACGATATCACGTGCGTGATTTGAGACTCAGCAAACACGTACAGCTTATGACGACTGTGTAAAGATTCACCCTGACTCCCTGTCTAGTAACACGGAAACCCCAAAATAGTAACAAAAGACGAAGTGATATCACGGAATATTGACATGCTGACATACCCAGGGAAGATCGTACGCGCACAGTGACTGCTGGGCTGGTTTGTGCGGTGAATGTGGATTGTCGTGTTGTACCGGGCAACCGGCCCATTCTTCTGAAACGCCATTGTATTGTAATGAAGCCTCACGTTGGCCAGGCAAGGTACGTGCTGGCGCAAAGATATCGCTCATGACAGGATACTTTGACAGAATCAAATCTCTCGTAAGTTTATTTTTATCATTTTCCATCTCTTACGCTCCTTGATATAGAAGAGCGTATAATGTGTAAAATGTTGAAGCGTACATCACATAAGTTGCATCGCCACCGGTACGTGGGTTTCAATCACCACTTTACTCTCTTGAACCATTCATACAAATATCTCTGTTTTGCTTTTCTGTTGCCTGTTATAAATTGACATCTTATGGGTCAGTTTATACTGTTAATTATTCTCTTAATCGTGTTGACTGGCTGTTTGTGAACAAGTGTAAACATATATTGTCAGCGTCTGAGATTAGCCTGTGTTGAATGTCAGCCGAAACAGAGTCCATTAGGGTAACATGCAAAATAGTGTCGGGAAAAGATCCGTCCACATATACTACCTCCAGCTAACAGTGTGGGGTGGTTTAGATTAACCGCAAGCAACTAATGTTGGATGTAAAAGACGACAAACTAGTTCGGTGGTCTGGACGTGTCTCATGGTTGACCGTCTTCGTAACCCGGCAGTGTGGATCGTGGGTCAACAAGTCAGTCGACTGTATAGTGAGAGAGTGAGTTAATATTAACGTTACACCGGCAGTGTTTCAGCCATATCGTGACGTAAAAAAAATAGACGTTGATAATGAATATCTGTATTATTATAAAACCTGTCGACAAAGGACAGTACAACAACTAGACTATCACAGTTAGAATTAATACTAGTATGGAAAGTTAAAAGTTAATAGCACTATTTGGACAATACATAATATAAAACAGGCTATAGATCGCCAACAAGTGAAGGTAGATCACCATACTAGGAGTCGATTGTATAAAATATATCGTCATATAGTTGGCATACTGCTGAGGTGTAAATGTAGCCACTTACTTCAGTCAATTGTTCTAAACTATACTGTGTTAAAAGGTACTGTTTACACATGAACTGATGATGTTCTGTAAAACAAATTCGTATACAACATATATATACAATCGAACCCCAATAATAATAATAATAATAGTCCATTTATATTGCGCGTTTATCCATGCACATTGCATGCTCAAAGCGCTGACATATTACCCCTGGTCAACGAGTACAGAACACTCCATGTGGAGAATACAACCGGTTGCCTGTCAGGCGCTCAAGGTTCAAATTCAGACTACCATCGTATCATACCAGGTACTCAATTTTACTGCTGGGTGGACAGAGGCAATTTTGAACAAACTCACTTGCCTAAGGCGAGACCACATGCGTCACATGTGCTTCGTTGTAGGGCAGTACTGAAGTCCTAGAAACTTGCAGGAGTCAAGCTGCCAAACACGGTCACCCATCCGAGGACTGTCCGCGACAAACGTTGCTTAACTTCAATAGATTGTGACCTGAGCTCTACGCACGGTTGAGACGAATGTTCGGTTGTGTCGAACACATTTCTCGGTCCCTGCTGATTTCCGTATATTTATCATTACTTTTACCCTGATGTCTCCAACTAGATGTGTCGAATTCCCGGTTGTGTCGAACTCATTTTAGGTTCCTCAAAAGCCCTAATAACTACAAATTTACCCTTTTGTCTCGAATTGTCAAAGTTCTTGTAACTGAAAACTTCATTCGCGCAATCAAAAGTCATGCTCATGACTGTATGACGGTTTGCCTGTATATAATATATGAACAACACATATAGAATGCTTTAAGTTAGTCAAAACTTTTGATGGGTAGTATAAACACTTTTGATGGGTAGTGTAAACTCTTTTGATGGGTAGTATCTTTCACTCATTAGCACAAGGCCAAATATAGCACGAATGTCTGCTTTCATGTATTTTGTTCATACAGTACCATGGAGATATAGATGTGCCATATGTTCTTCACCGTTTATCGTCTCAGGTTCTTCGACGCAATAGATAGACGCAAGATGGCGAGGAGTCGTGTCAGGATTGTCTATGGTATGTAATACGTTTGGTTAACCGTTTCAATAATTACAAGAAATCTCTGAAATGTTTATGATTCCAACGATGTTATCAGTACGTGTTTACGATTCTTAGTGCCCGAGTAAAATATGCGTATCCTGGGCCCGATTTCTCGAAACAAAGTTAAGTCTGAGTTTTGACTTAAGTTAGAGTTTTTACTCAAATTTGAGAAACTGCATTTACCAGATTGAACTGAAATTGATATTAAAATCAAACATAAGAGTCAATTTGGGTTTGGTGGATAGATTACTTAAGTTGTATGGGCTTTTTTTTTTTTTAAATGTAGTTGAGTTAAAAATTCAGATGTTTCAAATTGTCAAACACAGTTTGAAATTTGAGTAAAAACTTAAGTTTGTTTCGAGAAATCGGGGCCTGATCGTCTAGCGGCAATGGTCACAAACGCATGCACGGTCAAAGCAATTGAAAAACACAGGAACATATGGTACCAGTCAAAATAGTGAACATCAAATATCATTAATGCTGAATGTGCGTCAAATTTTGAAATGCCAGTAACAACAACAAAAATGAACACTACATTCTCAGTTCCAGTCATGGACTTACCCTGTCTAAAGAACATACATATCAACACTTACCCTGCTAAAAATGTACATAAATATCTACACTTACCCTGCCTCAAGTACATACATATCTACACTTAACCTGTCTAAAGTACATACATATCTACACTTACCCTGCCTAAAGTACATACATATCAACACTTACCCTGCTAAAAGTACATACATATCTACACTTAACCTGTCTAAAGTACATACATATCTACACTTACCCTGCCTCAAGTACATACATATCTACACTTAACCTGTCTAAAGTACATACATATCTACACTTACCCTGTCTAAAGTACATACATATCAACACTTACCCTGCTAAAAATGTACATAAATATCTACACTTACCCTGCCTCAAGTACATACATATCTACACTTAACCTGTCTAAAGTACATACATATCTACACTTACCCTGTCTAAAGTACATACATATCAACACTTACCCTGCTAAAAGTACATAAACATCTACACTTTCCCTGCCTCAAGTACATACATATCTACACTTAACCTGTCTAAAGTACATACATATCTACACTTAACCTGCCTCAAGTACATCCATATCAACACTTACCCTGCTAAAAGTACATAAACATCTACACTTACCCTGCCTCAAGTACATACATATCTACACTTAACCTGTCTAAAGTACATACATATCTACACTTACCCTGCCTCAAGTACATCCATATCAACACTTACCCTGCTAAAAGTACATAAACATCTACACTTTCCCTGCCTCAAGTACATACATATTTACACTTAACCTGTCTAAAAGTACATAAATATCTACATTTACCCTGCCTCAAGTACATACATCTCTACACTTAACCTGTCTAAAGTACATACATAAATATCTATTCTTATCCTGCTTAAAGTGCATACATATCTACACTTAACCTGTCTAAAGTACATAAATATCTATACTTACCCTGCCTGAAGTACATACATATCTAGACTTTACCTGTCTTAAGTACATACATAAATATGTATACTTATCCTGCCTAAAGTACATACATAAATATCTATACTTAACCTGTCGAAAGTACATACAAATCTACACTTTTACCCTGCTAAAAGTACATAAACCTCTACACTTACCCTGCCTAAAGTACATACATATCTACACTTAACCTTTCTAAAGTGCATAAATAAATATCTACACTTAACCTGTCTAAAGTACATACATAAATATCTACACTTAACCTGCTAAACGTACATAAATATCTACACTTACCCTTCTTAAAGTACATTCATATCCACACTTACCCTGTCAGTACCTAATATCTATACTTATCCTGCCTAAAGTACATTTAATATATCTCCAATTATCCTGTCTTTACTAATTATCTACACTAACCCTGTCTAAAAGTCGGAATAAATGAACACAATCCTGATTAATTAATTATCTACACATACCCTGCCGAAAGCACACGTAAAACTTGTTTTACCTGTGTTATAACCCTAATTTGCGCAAAACTGAACTTAGATATAATAAAACGTCATTTGGTCAGTTTTAGCATACACTTACAAATTACACCTATCTGTCATCAACAGCACAGAACACCTAGTCTCGATTAATCAGCAAAACAATTCTCAATGGGGATAAAAGGAAAATTAGCGGTGACAATTATATTAAAGAATTTTACTGAAAGTCCAGAATGACACCATGTGGAAGATGTAAACATCGAGAAGAGTTCTATGGATATACACCATTTTTTAGGTCGCCTTCGCCGGTTGGCATGCCGGCAGACCTACTCCGCCTCGGGATGCGTGGTGTGTGGTCGTGGAAAGGCAGTGTCCCTCCTTGGGACGCTTGTTGGGCCTGCCCCTCTTTTGACCCGCTGATTGAAAACATTTCGTTTTTTCAGATATACTGACACAGCTCACTGTTCAGAAGAAAATTGGCTTGTGGTCTGTACATTGTGTTGCGCTCTGTGGGAGCCAGCAGTTGCGTTGCTGTCAATGTACCTAGCCCAGTTTCATCTTTGAGTGTCTGTATGGGTATTTCAAACCGTTGGCAGTCCAACAGTATGTGAGGGACAGCGGCCTTGGTGTGGCATGTTTGACAGTTTTTGTTTTGGTAGACCCTAGTCTGACAGGGGTGATGACGACGTCAACTCGCCTGTTCTGTGAAGGGCGGGGCCGCTTCCCTTTGACGATGGGGCGGAGTCCATGACACCGTCGGGCTATCTCTGAGGTGCTCCATAGCCTCTGCCACTTACTAGTAATTGGACTTTTGATCATATTTCGTATTTCGCTTTTTGAACATGGATGATCTAGTGACTCGTCCAATTCTAGTGCCTGCCTGGCTAGTTTGTCAGCTCTCTCATTACCGGGAATGTCAATGTGAGGAGGTATCCTCCAACACAGCGTGATCTCGTTCTCAGTTCCCTTTTTAGTCATATAAGTGTCTCTATGAGAAACAGGATATGTCGTATTGTGTCAGGTCTACTAGAGGAGTACTATGATGCCAGTGACTTCAATTCGCTGTGAGAGTCAGAACAGAATTTCTCTTAGGCATTGGCTGTACCTTAGTGCATGATGTATGGCTTTTCGTTCCGCTGTGTATACCGACTGTCCGTTAGGCAAGCGGACTGAAATTGTCTCTGTTTTCGAGGCTGTGTATACATGTATTTGGATACCGTTTGCTGTTCTATTTCTCACAGGATTCTTGGATCCGTCAGTATAAATATGAGCCGAGTCCTCATAGAGAGTGTCTACCCTGCCTTTGTACAATACTGCAGGCAAGGCTATATATACACGGTGGAGTTTGAACAGTAACTTGGTGATGTTTACACAAAAAATAAGGTGGATGTACAAGGTTGGAGAATGTTTACACAAGAAGACAATTGTTAGACAAGCAGATTTAACTATGGAGCGAGTAAAGGGGGGACGCCAGTGATGTTATGGACAGGAGAATAATAGTATTAAGAATGCTTGGTGACGAGTTGGAGGTAGGCAGTGGGGATGTAATATCCTTCGTCTCTGTTTATAACCGGTTGGAGTTTGATGTGAATGGCTTCTAGTAGCTTGTCGATCTTGTAGTGGGTATGATTGTTCAAAATACCTCGTTGTTCAAACCACCAACTTCTAAATGCCACTCAAAGAAGTTATGCTTGAGTGAGGGAGGGAGTTGGGTTTTACGCCGCTTTTAGCAATATTCCAGCAATATCACGGCGGGGGACACCAGAAATGAGCTTCACACATTGTACCCGTGTAGAGGATCGAACCCGGAACTTCGGCGTGACGAGCGAACGCTTTAACCACCTAAGCTACCCCACCGCTCCAGTTATGCTTAAAGATATAAGGGTATGTGGCAAGACGCCGGACAGCAACGCACCTTCCATGACACGGTAGCATTGTTAATGACTGTGTTACTGAAACTAGACGAAATTGCTCATATCGAATCACGCGTGGCGTGTGACCAACTAGTCCTGAAAAGAATATTTTTCACAGAAAGATAATTTTATTGATAAAAAAAATAACGAAAAGAAAACCAGAGACTTTCTTCATTGTCCATGGGCCAGCGGCAGTAATTTGGACTTGCCAAATATTTGAGATTTATTCGATATATATGTTTCAAGTTTTGTTTGACAGAACCTTTTCTATATCCATGAGAAATCTCTGCTAAAAGCAGTGTCGATTGTACATGAGTATATATATATGTTGCAGCAGTATTGCAGCTGTACGACGTTGTTTGCAAACAAATCGAGTCTGGACCAGACAGTCCAGTGATTATAAGTTCAGAGAGTTTGCTGATTACAACTTGAGAAAATCGTTTTAGATATACATGAAATGTATTTTCGTTTGCCAGTCCAAATGGTTCCTTTCAGTCGAATGATCCATGAATGAGAGAATAACTGTCCACATTACTGTTAATTCTATACACTGCGCTCCTTGAGGTTGACACATTGCTCGCTGTTCAATACATATAGTCGTAAAGCAACAGGTCGTGACATCCCACACAAAGATTTCGCTGAAAGTCCACACTAACCCCCTATTCCAGAATATTACCTGGTGTGGAATTCCTGGTTGAGTGGTTATAGTCACCGGGCTGTGTTGGCAAGACAACGAATCATTAACAGTTGCTCATTCACCCGTTCCGTTCTCTGCGTACACTATGTGTCTAACGGGGAAAACGGAGCGTACCCTGTTACCTCTGTGTTCTTCTCAGAAACCGGTCATAATATCTAGATTGATTGATAGATCGTTTTCGGCCTGACGTTCATAGTAATGAGGCTATTAACTTTACAGAAACCGGGTCCGCTGGTTTCAGTAATTTAATCAATCTGATGCTTGTTTTCATCATGAATTTTTGTCTTCAAATAGCCTTGTCATTAAATTCTTAATCTGTCATAGATTCTGCATTTTGAACAAAACATCTAAAGAATGAATTACGTAATATTGGCGTCATATTTTTTAATAAACAAGAATAATTAAATGGGCCAGTACATCTTTTATGTTGATTTTGTTATGTTTGATACTCTTAGTGCATATCAAGCGCGTGCGTTTAACAGAAAACAAATGATTTTCTTGATATCACAAGCACAACACTGTAAAGGATATCCGTGGCAAAACGAACATATGTGTGTATGTCACAATCAAATCACTTTGAAATATTGACCATGTTCTAGGCATTATAATCTCACAGATTTATTAGTGGTAGAGTGTGCCATGCAAACATACTGTCAGTGTACAATGTATCACATTTACATACGTCATTAGTGGTAGAGCATGCAATGCGATTACACTGTCATTGTACAATGTATCACATTTACATACGCTATTAGTGGTGGAGTGTGTCATGCGATTATGCTGTCAGTGTACAATGTATCACATTTACATACGCTATTACTAGTAGAGTGTGCCATGCGATTACACTGTCAGTGTACAATGTATCACATTTACATACGCTATTACTTGTAGAGTGTGTCATGGGATTATACTGTCAGTGTACAACGTATCACATTATTTACGCTATTACTTGTAGAGTGTGTCATGGGATTATACTGTCAGTGTACAATGTATCACATTTACATACGCTATTACTTGTAGAGTGTGTCATGGGATTGTACTGTCAGTGTACAATGTATCACATTTACATACGCTATTACTGGTAGAGTGTGCCATGGGAGTATACTGTCAGTGTACAATGTATCACATTTACATACGTTATTAGTGGTAGAGTGTGCCATGCGATTATACTGTCAGTATACAATGTATCACATTTACATACGTTATTAGTGGTAGAGTGTGCCATGCGATTACACTGTCAGTGTACAATGTATCACATTAACTTACGGTATTTGTGGTAGAGTGTGCCATGCGATTACACTGTCAGTGTACAATGTATCACATTTACATACGCTATTACTGGTAGAGTGTGCCATGCGATTATACTGTCAGTGTACAATGTATCACATTTACATACGTTATTAGTGGTAGAGTTTGCCAAGCGATTATACTGTCAGTGTACAATGTATCACATTTACATACGCTATTTGTGGTAGAGTGTGCCATGCAAACATACTGTCAGTGTACAATGTATCACATTTACATACGCTATTAGTGGTAGAGTGTGCCATGCGATTACACTGTCAGTGTACAATGTATCACATTTACATACGCTATTAGTGGTAGAGTGTGCCATGCGATTACACTGTCAGTGTACAATGTATCACATTTACATACGCTATTAGTGGTAGAGTGTGCCATGCGATTACACTGTCAGTGTACAATGTATCACATTTACATACGTTATTAGTGGTGGAGTGTGCCATGCGATTATACTGTCAGTGTACAATGTATCACATTTACATACGCTATTACTAGTAGAGTGTGCCATGCGATTACACTGTCAGTGTACAATGTATCACATTTACATACGTTATTAGTGGTAGAGTGTGCCAAGCGATTATACTGTAAGTGTACAATGTATCACATTTACATACGTTATTAGTGGTGGAGTGTGCCATGCGATTATACTGTCAGTGTACAATGTATCACATTTACATACGCTATTACTAGTAGAGTGTGCCATGCGATTACACTGTCAGTGTACAATGTATCACATTTACATACGTTATTAGTGGTAGAGTGTGCCAAGCGATTACACTGTCAGTGCACAATGTGTATTTACAAACGTTATTGACAGTATGAAGTATTGTATTATTTACACACACTATTGGAATTGCAATGCACTATACTATACTGAACCACAATAGAAACGTCGCCTTTCAAAACCAGTTGCAATATTTTGTTCTTTTTTCTATTATGAATGTATCCTTTTGTTAACATGTTTTTCAATCCAAATTGACAGTTATTACCAACATCCATGTGTTTTCCGATGAAAAAGCATGTCGATCACACGCACCGAAAAAGGCAGTCATGGTAAAAGGTTCTGTATGACATTCGTGAAAATGAAAATGCACGTGCATGTCGTGACAACCCTACCGATGAAAGCAAGTCCCAAACTCGCCTGAAATCATTTTTGTTTTGACTCAGTCACCATGCCACGACCTACGAGAGATCAGAGGAACCAAGTCTTGGGACGATTGCAAGTTGTCCCGACTACACCGACGGTAGCCAATCATTTTAATGTTCATGTTAGGACAATCTACCGACTGCAGGAGTGGTATCAGGTAACATACAGCATCTAAGACCGTCCACGCAGTGGGCGGCCTTCAGTCACATCACAACGTCAAGACCGACAGATGGTGTCCCACCATCTGCAGGATCGCTTCATCAGAGCCACGGAAACAGCACGCCAGACCATTGGGACTGACAACAGACCCATTTGCGCGGACCTCATCGTAGTCCTGTCCCCACAGCTCATCACTGCCCAAACCAACTGCAATGGGCAACTCAGCATCGAAATTGGCGTTATCGACAATGGAAAACTGTGTTTTCATTTCATGAAAGCAGATATTGTGTTTCGCCATTCAATGGCAGAGTGAGAGTATGGGAAAGGGGTGAACTGTTTTCCAATGAGTGTATTGTTGAAAGAGACTCGTGGGGTGGTCCAAGCATCATAGTGTGGGATGCAATCGATCTAAACCAGTTAGTTTACACCGTGGTGTTCCAGCATCTTGGTCCAGGATGAAGACGTGACGTGACAGCTGATCGCTTTATTGACCAAGTCATAAGACCCCACGTTGCACCACATTTGGGACGTTACAAAAATCACCTCTTCCAGCAAAACAACGCTCGTGCCCACACTGCCAAGAGCAGCATTGGACAACATGGCATCCAAACGCTACAATAGTCTGCACTCAGCCTGAATTTACCCCCAATAGAACACCTTTGGGACGAGATTCAAAGAAGGCTGAATGACCTCCAATCAAGGCCGACAACTGCGGCTGGAATCGATCAGGCATTTCACAGAGTATGGACCCAAGTGCCTATGGCCTTCATCAACCGTCTCATTCATTCCATGTACAAATGATGCAACGCTTTCATCAATGCCCATGGAGGCCATACACGATACTGACTTTGGGGTATCTTAATGGTACCATTTTTGGTGATTTTGTTTGTGTGACCTCTAAATGTGATTCCCGAAAATGTGTTAACCATAATGGTCAAGTTCAATCCTCCGTTTTGATTGTTTATTAGAGAGAATTCCAGTGTGTGCTTTAAGAAACCACTATCGGTGCGAACCTTTGTGGTTCAGTGTATCTAAACCCATCTTTAAGTGTGCAATGTATCATGATATTGAAACCCACGTTTTAAGTGTGCAATGTATCATGATATTTAAACCCACGTTTAAGTGTGCAATATACCATGATATGTTACACACGGTTATGTATAATGTACACATGTTATTTAAACACGCCGTTAGAAGTGCACTGTTCCGTATGCGAATGCAGTCTTTCTTTTCATTATTAGCTGATAAATTCCAAATACTGTTCAAAGTGGTTCCACATCCACCTAGCATATAATCTGTTGACTATCAGTTTCAGTGATACTTCTCGGCACTTTGTATTCCCTGGGCCTGCTGCTGGTGGTGGACATCACAAGAAAACCGAGTGTGTTGAGTATGTGAACAAATTACTTAAGTAATAGTTTGCACAGACGAGGCGGATTCAAAGACAGCACTGACTATGGCCTTTCGTCTGTCAGAATCATAGTGGGGCCAAAGTGGGGTTTAGCTTATTATATGAAGACCAGAGCGGCGGTGAGGTAACGTTGTTCGTCACGCCGAATGCGTTATTCCCCACGTGGGTACAATGCGTGAAGCCCAGCTCCGGCGTCCCCAGCTGTAATAGTGCTAAAAGCGGCGTAAAACCGTCCCAAGTAACTCACTTACATCAGAGTTGTAGTTATATTTCCCTAAAATAGATGTAGAAAGTGAGGTGAAATCATGCACACAAAAAGTACTACATGTTTACTATGTGTTGTGAAGATGTGGTCATCAGCATCAGCTTTACAAATTTCACAAAAATATTAGACCACATTTTCGATGAGTTCATCAACTAAACTAAAAAAAAATTTGTAAGGCAGATAGCATGTTGTGACAAAATTCTGAAATTTTACCCACATATTCATTTAAAAGATAGTGATTATTATACATGCAATCATTATTATTATTCTTTTTAGAGAACATGTTGGGTTCACGAACAATATTTATTACTGAATTTTTGTCCATCGCAATTTCAGGTATTGAGCGCTTGTGTCTTGAAACAACAACTGAACATGCAGGGACTGAGGAAATACAGGGACTGATGGGTGAGGATGTCTAAACATTATAATTCAGTGAGAATGATTCAACAGAGGTAGCGACCATTGTATCCTGCTATTTATGCATTTTAATATTATCGGAGTGATCAGTCATTCTTATTTCCTGATACATATATTGTTCATTCGAATGAATACTGCTGATTCCTACTGCGTGAAAAATAACTGTTGGTAACCATATTTCATTCGTTCCTGATTCCAGATAACCAGCTTGTCTATTCCAGAGATGATGTCACCAACTTGGTGGATATATTTCGCCAGAAAGTAGCAAGTAAGGTTTCATGACTTCATCGAGCTTATAAAATATGATTAATTAATACCGGAAATGAATTTCATGGTGAACGTGATTGGACTCCCTTTTGCGTCAAAAGAATGTCCGTATTCTAGTTACCAGAACTGGTTTTTGTGAACGACGTTTTTGGTTCATCCGTCTCCTTAACAGCGTTTCAGTTTATTACTTTTGACTGTGGTACTTCACTTGATCGCAAGCACATTTCAAAGAATGAAATGTTAAGATCAAGAATTGTTTTAGAAAGTTTTCTCTCTGTGTTTTAGCTCTGAAGCAGAGGAAGATTTGGTCAGAGTTACCCTCCTTATCTCCGTGTACAGGCAAGGAAAACAAAACATGTAAGATTTAAATCATTACGATTCCAGCATTACAGCCAGCAAAAGCATCAGCCGAATTATTACAGAAAAGTCGGTTGTCATCTTTGTTTCATATCATTCAACATCAATACGGCCATTATGCACCTATATTAGTGAGTCTGGACCAGACACCCTAAACTGTAATTTATCTTTCTTCTGTTTATAAACGTTTCAGTGGACTTGTGCAATGACACAGCTGCCTGCAAACACCCACTTCCAGCAGCTGACAGCCAAGAAAACATCCGCAATATTCTTACACCCGTGACCAAACTCAAAGAGGGGGCGCTGGAGAGGATAAAGGGAGTTTTCAACATACAGGAGAGGAGGAAATATGCCTTTGTGACGGCAGCGTCAGCGGATCACTTTGATGAATCCCAGGAGATGATCATGACTCTGGATAAATATATCTTCCCTTATCTGAGCAACTACTCGTTCTATTATTACGACATGGGTCTGAACAAAAGTCAGGTGAAACTGGTAAGAAACTATTTCACTACAGACTCAAATGATAGAAAACTTAGACAATAACACTTGGATGTGGTTCCAATGGCTATAGTATTAGTTCTGATATAAACAATCACTAAGTAGGTATCATTTTATACAGCAAGAGTACAAGAATAGCCAATGAAAGCAGCAACAACATCACAGTAGCAGCAACAACATCACAGTAGCAGCAACAACATCACAGCAGCAGCAACAACATCACAGTAGCAGCAACAACATCACAGTAGCAGCAACAACATCACAGTAGCAGCAACAACATCACAGTAGCAGTAACAGCATCACAGTAGCAGCAACAGCATCACAGTAGCAGCAACAACATCACAGTAGCAGCAACAACATCACAGTAGCAGCAACAACATCACAGTAGCAGCAACAACATCACAGAATCAGCAACAGCATCACAGTAGCAGCAACAACATCACAGTAGCAGCAACAACATCACAGTAGCAGCAACAACATCACAGTAGCAGCAACAACATCACAGTAGCAGCAACAACATCACAGTAGCAGCAACAGCATCACAGTAGCAGCAACAACATCACAGTGGCAACAACATCACAGAAGCAGCAACAACATCACAGTAGCAGCAACAACATCACAGTAGCAGCAACAACATCACAGTAGCAGCAACAACATCACAGTAGCAGCAACATCACAGAATCAGCAACAGCATCACAGTAGCAGCAACAACATCACAGTAGCAGCAACAACATCACAGTGGCAACAACATCACAGTAGCAGCAACAACATCACAGTAGCAGCAACAACATCACAGTAGCAGCAACAACATCACAGTAGCAGCAACAACATCACAGTAGCAGCAACAACATCACAGTAGCAGGAACAACATCACAGTAGCAGCAACAACATCACAGTAGCAGCAACAACATCACAGTAGCAGCAACAACATCACAGTAGCAGCAACAACATCACAGTAGCAGTAACAGCATCACAGAATCAGCAACAACATCACAGAAGCAGCAACAACATCACAGTAGCAGCAACAACATCACAGAAGCAGCAACAACATCACAGAATCAGCAACAGCATCACAGTAGCAGCAACAGCATCACAGTAGCAGCAACAACATCACAGTAGCAGCAACACCATCACAGTAGCAGGAACAACATCACAGTAGCAGCAACAAAGTTGTGGTAGCTGAAGCTGTAGCGCCTGTTCCATAACGACACGAAAGTTATCAGGTGCTCTGTGTCTCCATTATCAAAGACTGAATATTGGTGGGAAATCAAACGATTTGAGTACTAATGTGAAATATTTTTAAATATACTCAACAAAACAAGAAACTTCACATCTGTTACTTTATGTCTCAAACATACCCATATAGAACAAATTCTATCATGACTTCAGCAAACACTGGATTGTGATCGGTTAATTATAGTCAGTCAGAAGTATATAATCACGTTATATACCTCTAATGTTTCCAACACAGAATGTATTTGTTAAAAACCTTGTTTCAAAATCAGGGGTATATAAGGAAATCATGATAGCTCTAAATTTGATTTCAAACCGAATGCGCAGTATGTTTATCTCGTTACTGTGTTGCAAGTGGATACATCCGGTTTATGTATGTCATATAGCTGGAATATTGCTGAGTGTTGCGTTAAACAGCAAACCAACCTACCAAATTTATCTTCATTTTAAATATGTTGCAGCTCCGGCAGTATGGAAGAGCTGAAATAAGACGGTACCCGTTTAATTTGCTGCCTGCTCGGTTTTTGTACTTGAAGTGCTACACGTGGAAGCCCCTCTTGATGCAGGTACGTATACTCGTTCAGACACGTATTTATCACATATTTGCCCTTTATGACCAATGAAATCTGTTTCTGCAGATATTGGAGAATGACACTATTACCTACGTGACATCATTATTTCTAACTAATTTGGTATGGAGTGAGTGAGTGAGTTTAGTTTTACGCCGTTTTCAGCAATATTCCAGCAATATCACGGCGGGGGACACCAGAAATGAGCTTCACACATTGTACCCATGTTGGTAAGCGAACCCGGATATTCGGCGTGACTAGCGAACGCTTTACCGACTAGGCTACCCCACCGACCCCATTTGTTATGGAAATAAGGAGACATGTTATCATTGAACTACAACTGCAAAAACACGTATGCTTGGCCTTTTGTGTTAAGACTATTTTGCATTTCCGTGGCAGACATCTGTCTTCTAAATTTACAATGCAATTCCTAGGGGTATATGTAATTATTACAAGCTAGCTATTATAGTGCAGGGGCTTATGTAATTCCGTGGGAATTACATGTTAATTTTTGGAATCAATACAAATTGTAATCACCTTTGTGTATGGATTCAGGAAAAGCATGGTTCCATTTTTTCTGTTTGCTATAAGTGTCATTGTGGGGTGATTGAATATGAGTTCCCAAAATTACTTGCGACAACATTTCGAGAAAAAACATGTTTTCATAAACCTATCACAACATAGTCATGTAGCATATCAAAAGGCAGCTTATGATGTATGACATAGAGATAACCACATAATATGCTTCTAATTTCAATTTGGTGCCATAAAATATGACATAATCAAATAAAGTAATCAAATATTGTCTTTCCTTCATCGGACACCAACATTGTAAGTATTGGCCTATATTAGTGGAAACCATTTATTCAATCAATGTACCATGACACACTTATGCACGTAATAATAACAGTACCCAGATAAGGTTAATGTGACTATTATATAGTCGTGCACAAGTGTCAAATCAGGCCTACCAGTACAGTCAGAATTGACACACTGACACTCGTGTCTGGGTTATTAAATGACAAATGACATAAAGCCAAATCTGCAGTCAATACAAACTAAATGTTTTAATACAGGAGTGACAAATTATATCACAGTAAACAGATAACTACATATTACAAGTGGGGTATGCAAGTACAATATATAATGTGCACTTAGCATATTCATTTGAACTTTTACAGTGTTAAGTAATTTGCATAGTCAATCAATCCATCATTAACCTGCAAGAACAAAATATGATGTTGAAATACAAGCTTAGACATTATTTGTAATACAAACACAAGCATGAATTCTTTTTCTTAATTTGGAAACTAGAAGGGCCCTCGTGAGAGAAAATGCCTCCGCACTGCACAACAATTTCCTTTCACTATTACATTTTTAAAGTACTACTGTGTACTTGTACTTTAATGGTTGTAAGTACTGGATGAGAAAATGAGACGTCTCAACGGTGCTCACCGTAATATTGCCATTGGACGATTACAAGCTGGCGAATCCAAGAGTGACGTGGCGAGGACCTTCAGCATTCACCTTAGCACAAAAACGCGTTTGTGGGATCGTTTTCGACATTCCATTTCGACAAATGACCATCCAAGACCAGGAAGACCGTGAGTCACCACACAGCCCAAGATCGCTTCATCCGGGTAACCCACCTTCGTGACTGCCATCGTTCCGCCCGGTCCACAGCACAAGAACGGTTTGGAGCCCGGTGAATGTCCGACCAGACAATCAGGAACCGTCTCCGAGAGGTAGGTATGCGTGCCAGACGTCCTGAAGTTGCCAGACGTCCAGACACGATTACATCAACGTCTGTGAGTCAGGTGGTGTAACGCGGTGCAGCCATGGAACCTTGGAAACTGGAGGCACATATGATTTAGTGATGAATCACGGTAGCACCTCAAGCGACGTGACAGAAGACAACGTGTCTACAGAGCACGCAATGAGTGAGTGAGTTTAGTTTTACGCCGCACTCAGCAATATTCCAGCTATATGGTGGCGGTCTGTAAATAGATCGGAATTGATCGGAATTGGTGCTCGTCCAAGGCAACCTTACGCCCGCGAGATACACCGACCAGATTCTCTGTCTTCACGTGCATCGTTTTGTCGACCGCCAAAGGGAGCTGTACCAACAGGACAGCGCCAGACCTCACACAGCACTTGCTACAGTGGACTACCTGGACTGTAACAACATCAATGTCCTCCCCTGGCCTTCCAGATCCCCGGATCTGAAACCAATTGATTACCTGTAGGATCAGATAGATAAACGTGTACGTCAACGTCGTAATCCGCCATTGAGGCTTTAACAGTAACTGTTGTTCAACATGCTGCAGGAGGAATGGAGAAGGATTCCACAACGAAACATCCAACAACTTATTCGGTCTTTTTAAGGAGGTGCAGTGCAGTTCCAGCAGTAAGAGGTGGTCATACAAGGCAGGCAGTAACGTCGTCACCTCTTGGACAGCAGTAATGACTATGATGACCATCAAACTTGCCAAATGTGCACGAGATACCAATGTATTGCTCTACATAATTTCAATGCTGTACCGTTTATTTTCGTTGATTTACATAATTGAATAAGACCAAAATTTTCAATGATATTTTGCTTTTGCGTTTCTTTTTTTTGAAGAGTGTACTTTTTCAACAACTTATTGATTTGTCCTGGGGACATTCCCAGAAAGTTTCATTGAAATCCATGTAGTAGTATTTGAGTAAAGATGCTAACACATAAATCCACACACACAAACAGGGTTGAATGCTACGGAAGCCTCCTAGTGCCACAGTCTGAATTTTTTTATCTCCTAATTAGGAGATGCTATCTCCTAATTAGGACTTACTATCTCCTAATTAGGACTTAGCTATCTCCTAATTAGGAGATAATATCTCCTAATTAGGAGTTACTATCTCCTAATTAGGTGATACTATCTCCTAATTAGGAGTTACTATCTCCTAATTAGGACTTAGCTATCTCCTAATTAGGACTTAGCTATCTCCTAATTAGGAGATACTATCTCCTAATTAGGAGTTACTTTCTCCTAATTAGGTGATACTATCTCCTAATTAGGAGTTACTATCTCCTAATTAGGTGATACTATCTCCTAATTAGGTGATACTATCTCCTAATTAGGACTTAGCTATCTCCTAATTAGGAGATAGTAACTCCTAATTAGGAGATAGTATCAGGAGATATAGGAGATACTATCTCCTAATTAGTGGGACTTAGCTATCTCCCTAATTGGGAGATAGTAA